ACTGGAGGCCAACCCCGATGTGAGTGCCCGGCTCGGAGGGTGGGGAGAGCTGCCGGGTGCGCGGGAGGGATGCCTGCTGGTAGGAGGGAGGGAGGGAGGGAGGAAGGAAGGATGGCGGAGGGGAGAGGAGAGGAGAGGAGAGGGATCGGGGCCGCCGCGGGCTCGGCGTCGCGGGCTGAGGGATGGGGGCAGGGAGCGGGGGAGGTCTTAGCCCGCGGATCTTAACCGGGGTCTTAACTCCCCTCTGTTTTCTGCTTGCTTTTCAGGTCACGAATCAGGTAAGTAGATTTTATTTGAGGTAACCTTTAGCCTCTCTGCAGCTTTAGGCCCATCTCCTTTCATTTTCGGGTAGTAAAGGCTCCTGCTTCTCCAACGGGAGTAACCTCTTCTTCCTCCGTGGGTCTCTCTGCTGAGTCTTCTAATTTTGGAGCTTACTGGCACCTCCTGAAATCTCTGAGTACATAGTGTCATGTAAAGATACTAAATGGAAGAAAAAACAGTAAAGAAAAAGAGAATGCGTGTGGTCTGGTTCTTGGTGTAATGTAATCTCCGATGTGTTTCAAGGTGGGCTTGAATTCGTTAATTAATGATTAAAACATTACTATGTATTTTATATCATGTGAACCAGTTCTGGACCTGTACATGGTGGCTTTGTGCACTTGAGTGTATCTGCTTACATCACTCTGTTGCAGTCTTCTTCTTTGGCTGACCATAAGAAATAATGTCATTTTACTATATTTGCACTTTGCTGTTTATTTATGACAATATTTGCATGATGTTGCTGTTTTTGTTAGCCTAGTAGAATCCACACTGGAGAAAGAAAACTTGTTCTAGTCTACAGAACAATGTAAGTGCTAGATAAACTAGCTGAAAGGAAATCACGCATACTCCAACCCTGCATCATATTCTCAGTGATAATTTTGAGTATCTTTAGCAAGCATTAGAGGTCAGATGTTGATCCCAGTAGGCCTACTGATGATGTTAAGTGTGGTGTTTAAGCAAAAAGACTCCGAAGCTTCCAGCAGTAAAATGACATTCTTAAAAATACAGTGTTGTAATATTTTGGAAATCAGGAATTTCTGTGTGCAATGAATGCATTTTTGGTTGTTGCTGCTGTAATATACTTACTGAGTCTGCAGGAGAGTGAGGGGTTATTTGATGTTGGTCATTTTGTACTTGGCTTTATAGTTTCTTAAGACAAATAATTTTACAATTTTTACAGTATTACTGCTGTGGAGCAATTTGAGAAGTTTTTAATCTCAGTTCTGAGTTAAAATTAACAACATTTCCTGGGAGCTTTTCTCAAATGTGTGCTATAATTTCCTCATGGTTTAGATTTTTTTAAATTTTGAAATTTGGAGATTAAATTCCATTTTGGAAGAAATCTGAATAAATGATACATAGAATTTCAAATTCTCTGACTTACCACTTTACAGATGTTCAGATGAGCTTCTCGGGGTACAAATAAAGTCCTGTCAGCTGTAAAGTAGGAATTGAGGAGGAAATCTAGTGACATTTTCCAAATACCTGAATTACTTTGTATCACGACATGTTTATATTAGATGGAGAAAATCCTTGAAGAACATTAAATGAACATTTCTAAGTATCTTCAAAACCTCTCTCTCTTGCCCATTGGCTTTTCATTCATGATAGATGATATCTATCAATTGTGGATGATCATGGATTACAGGAACTTTTATTCTGCAAGGTTTTTCTTGTTAATATTTCTGTACAGAAAAGTCCACCTTAGACCAGTTAGACTTCCTCTTTCACTATATTTTGCTAGTCTTAACTAAGCAGTGGTTGTTATTATCTAGACTGAGAGGTGTATTTAAAAAAAAGGGAGGGGAATTATCAGTGTTGAATGTGAATACACTTTGCATTATTAGTCATTGTTCTTTTAATCTCATCAGTACACTGGTAAACTGTATAACAACAGGGGTGTTAGTCACCAGTTATTCATATCCTGCTTAAAACAACAATAATAGTAATTTGAGATTCAAATGAAGTTGTGAACACATCTTTAAAGAAATCCTGTTGATTTAATTGCACAGAGAGGCTTTTTGTGGTATGCTGTGCTGCGCTCTGTAAAATATTCTGGAATCCTTCAGGATTAATAAAAACAATGGTGTGCACCTAATAGCTGTAATATATGTGTAATAGCTGTAATATATGTGTCTAGTAGTAGTTTAGTACATGTATGTCTTTACACAGGCATCTAGCCATGTGTTTCTTGCTGTTTTTTTAAATTGTATTTTGTTTGTTTTACTTGAGTCTTAGACTATCCTTGGAACATACTACTTCTGTTAAAGTGTAGTAGTGAACTCTTAAAACCCACCAAAATTACAGTTACCTGTAAGATGCATGGATTCTTAAGTATTAGATTGTAGTCAGAACTGTCATTATGACTTAATGAGTGCTTAACCTATTTTGATTATTCTAGCAATCATTCCCTTTTTTTAATGGTAACTAGAAAGGCAATGCACTAAACTCAGGTTCATTTGCTTTTATTATGTTCTTGCCTTACTGTGTGCTCTCTAGTTCTGAAATTTAAGTTACAAACTTGAGACAGTTTCAATCTGTGGTAGAAATTCAGACAATAATGGAGAAGAACTGATATTTCTCAGTTGTAGGGTAAGCGAAATATTTCAAAAACATTTAGAAAGTTTTTCTCTGTCTGAAAGCATTTATGTTGTTATACACAACTAGGAATTTCTAAATCCTTTGTATATGTAGGTTCCCTCTTATGTGTTAGAATTATTTAAAGGTTCAGAAACTGGCTTGTGAGGAAAAAGAGGAATATTCTTTCTTAGCTTCAAAGATTTCCAATGGCAGTGACTCACTCAGAATACCACAGCCACATATCTGTGGTGATCTTTTTAAAAGAGAAGTCAGCATAGTTAAATGTACCATACAGTGCTGATTTAATTGTCACAATACTTCCCCCCCTACTTCTACAGTCTGATAGAATGAATTGTTAGTTCACCTCTGATACAGACAGAGTTGATGATTCAGCATTTACAAAGCTCCACTTTGTGTGCAGAGATGACAGGGAATGGTTTCTTCTCTCTGACCTTCAGCTGGGGGCCTGATGTGACCAGTTGCTACCCTTCTTCCTGCATCTCTTACGAGACTTTCCCTACTAATGGGAGAGAAAAAGCAAGAAATTGGGGTTTGCCTGCCCGCTGTTTACCAGATGATGTTTGGCTGTGTATCTTGTGGTCAAGGAAGACCGCATACAAATTTTTGGAGTGAAAAGATCAGACACAAGCTGATTATTCTTCATCATGACATTGCTTCAGTCTGGCTTGCAATCCATGATTAATTCCCTGGCAAGCTTAGATAAACAAAAAAGTAGTACTGGTGGATATCTTTCTTGATCTCCCATGATCTCTTACCTTTCTTCGTCTCACACATTCTAAGAAATATCCTTACTTCTTAGATAAGGTACCATGTCAGCTCATGCCTTCATTATATTCAGATAAGGATAGAGTAATTGACTGTATCTGATTATGAAGCTCAAGCACTGGTTTCAAGTAGTTCAGAGATGAACTATTTAGAGTTGGCGGTGGTTTGGGTTTCTCTTGCCACATAGAGCTCACTTGCTGGTTCTTAGTTACCTTCCAGCATTATTTTCAGGCCTTTAATCCTGAAAGCCATTAAAGTACTGAGAATCAGCTATATGAAGAAATTAATTTTAGTCCATGGACAGCTTTGACAGCTGTGGCTTTAAAGTCAGAGAGGTAGTAAAGATCACAAAACATAGAACAAATAGCAGAAACGGGATACAGCTAGTCTTCACCCAGTTATGGAACACCTTTCTTAAGGGTGTTGTGCAAATACAGAGATTAATTAAGAATCTCAAGGAAACACACTTTACCTAAAAGTTCTTTCCATTTCATGAACTGTGCAACACTATCACACAAGGTTTCCCAAAAGAAAGCCCTACTGATCTAAGGCATTGAAAAAGCAGTGCCCATGATTCCTGAAGTGCGTTGGGTGGTAGTACTTGTAGATGAGCTACTGTGTTGGAATGAAAGGACGTGTGATGTGAAGAAACAGAGATGACCTTCTGAAAATGCTTAGCTAAGCTTACTTTTTTTTTAGTTGGGGGGTGGGGGCGAGGAGTTTAACTCTTCTGTTGTAAGAAGAGTGGAAACAGCGGAGATAGTGTGCATGCTTGGAAAACAGCCTGTTATTATGAGCGTAGCCTCAGAAAGTGGAAGACCAGTACTCAGTTTGTGTCTTTCTGTAAAGAGAATACCCCAGAAAGCCTTCCACAGAGCCAACAGAGGGGAAGTGTTGAGGCTGTGGCACAACATAGGAAAGAATAAGCACAAGGACAAATCTCAATGGATTGTAGACGTCTACTGTGAGATGACTTGTTGAATGGCTGCTTGTAGTTTAAAATATCTCAAGCTATATAGACCTCTTACTGAGTTTAAATAGGTAGACATGTTGCAAAGGGAAAATTGTAACTTGTTTTGGTGTTCAGAGCATTATTTATATGAATAGTTGAAAGATTGACTTAGATCTGTTTCTGTATATTACTCAGTAACTGAAAGCTAAGAAAACAATGTATTTCATTCCTCTATTTGTACTGGCCACTTCTGGCCTTTTACTATGCTCTTTTTTTTTTTTTTTTTTTTTTTTTCTTCTCAGTTTCATATTTCTGTTTCAATGGCATAAACTGAAAATTCTAACAAGGAAACTCGTATTGTCTCGAATAAGTGAAGTGAATGGGGTGCTACAGAGTGGAAAACAAGTGATAGTGGTTCATGCGATAGGTTATCTTGTTGCATTGAAGATGGTGTTCCCCACTCCTTCATCTTCCTTGGCCTAAAGGACCAGCAGAATCCAATTGTTGTTTTAGCACACTGCAAAACTAATATGTGTAACAGCTTATTTGGAGCGGATTGATCTGTCTGTGCCCACTATGAACAATTTAGATCATAGAAACAGGTCTCAAGTGTGTTTTCATGGCATGTCAATATTATATACGGCAGTGCCTGGGCATACTGAGTATTAAGTTTTGAAAATGTTTGATGGATATGTTAAAAATATATACTTCTCATTGTGAAGATCAGGAGCACTAACTGGAAGTCAGTGCTGCCCTGACACCCTGAAGAAACTAACACAATTGGAAGGATAAGAATTTTGTGGGTGTGAGATTTCTCACATTTTTGAGTAAGTTGAAAGCATTCTCTTTTTTTCCCCTCCAACATTACAAATTTTGAAAAAAATAATTCAAAAAATCTGTGATGATAAATGGACTGTG